CATTTATATAATATAGGAAATATATATCATAATAGGAAATATCAGTGTACTTATTATTTCGTTTGTGACTTCGTGTGTGAAAATGTGGTGTGATGAGCGTAGTTGTGGGGTTGAGCATGTGGGATGAGCGTAAGTGTGAAGGTGTGTCTCTGTGGGAGTGTAGTTTTAGGTCTGATATAGCTAGGCCTATGTGCTTGGTATATACTTACTTGAACAAGAGAACCAGAAGGGGTGGAGTGATGATGAAGAACTGCATATCAGCTGCAAGATACCAAGACCATCCCATGCACTGTCGGACGATATTAATCGCAGCACCGGGGAAATGGATGAAGTGGATGAAATGAGAAGTAAAGTTATAGATAATATATGATTCTTTAAAGAAACCAAATTCATTTACTAAAAAAAACAAAAACAATGTACTGATAGCACGAGCAGGAAATTCAAAGAAGTTGATCCTGGTTAACAAAGGACGTACCGTCGTGCTGACATCCGGTCTATACGGTTTGCGACTACAAAAAATATTTCACACATTGTAAGTCGTTGATATAACTCTTTTTAAGTTCTAGGACGAACACCACTTTTACAAATACGATACTTATTCAGTGCCCATGGGGTGTATGGGTACGTGGGTGTGTGTGTGTGTGTGTGTTGTTAATAGCCAACTCGTAGTTCTAACTGCGCATGTCCGTAGAGAAGGTCAATTGACAAACATGTAAGCCTCAAAATAAGCACGGCCTCTTGGAATCGTATAAATTGGAATCGAGGGTATAAGTAATAGTTCTTCATCTTTACCAGCTTGAATATTAGTTTACTGGTTAATGAAAGTATTCTTTATACTATGCATCACATCACATTTTACAACTGTATTTTCAGACAATTCCGAAGCCCGCCCTGGTCTAGTAGGTCTAGCTAGGCAATGCTGTGTGTGTGTGTGGGTGTGTGTGTGTGTGTGTTAAAAGCCAGGTTCCGGAGACATTGTTGCTAGAACTGATTTTTCTAAGACACAAAAAGCATACCGATTTTTGAATATTTAAAATCTTGGGATAAAGGTGGAAAAGAGTGGTTATGCCTCTCCCTCTCCCCTACCCCCTCCACACGTTTTTAAATATTCAAAAATCTGTATCTCATTAATCCGCTTCATAGTTTTTCGTCAGATATGTTTTTACGTCTTTGAAAAATCAGTTGTACAACATATCAAAAAATAAATAAATAAATAAATAAATAAAAATAATTTTAAAAAATTCCTCCAAAGCCTGGCTTTAAATGATGGTTTATGTTGATTTACCTTTTGCATGCGTATTTCAACTACGAATTGGCTTATTATATCAAGTTGCTTTGGGATGAGATTAAACAAAGAACGCACTAGCGTAGAGTTATGATGTTCTTACCATATTAGCTCCATTTCCAGAAAAAGGGTACAGATTGTTAATATACAGCAGATTCGTCCACCAGTTGTCCCTACATAGTTGTCTAGCATAGTTGAACGTTGCGTTCGCATATGGTCCACTTGCCAAATGGATTAATAAGGACGACCAAATGGCCAAAGCCATAATGTACACGGGAGTAATACGCCACCAACGATGGAAATAAAACAGACCCCAGTTCAGTTTGCCATCGCATTTTTTCAACGTTTTCAGTGTGTGATAGCATAATAGAAGACCACTGAAATCAAGGTAAATGATATCGTTATAAAAGCCCCCAAAATATCTAAAAATACTTTTACACATACTCTCCTATCGTATACATCAAAGGGTACTACTGTATTAGCTAAGCCAATGCTAATAGTAACGTATTGGTGGTTCCCGCGGCCTTTTCGAATGCGCAGACTCTCCAGACATTCAAAAGACGGACCCCCATGTCTAAGGATTACTCATTGTCAATATTCCAACAATAAGAGTATAGACAAAGGATGATTCGCCACAAAATACAACATTAAACATTGAGGGGTCCTAGAATTCGAATTGAAAAATAAGCCACTACGCGCAACCATGGTGGGGGCAAATGTACGAAATTGTTTTGTCTAGTATGGCACTAGATTGTCAGAAATGGCACTGTCAGACTCAAAAGTGTTATATTGATTTTACTATCGCCCCTGTGGTCCACGGTGAGATTGATTAGCATTTTTTTTATATTTATGCAGGGAGAAACATCTATTTATGCATGCATTAGGCCTAAGCTGGGCAGTGAATTATTGGTATGCTGACTTCGCATCTTCGGTACCCAGGGTGTCGTTCTACGTTGTATTAGTAGGTCATTAATAGAGGACTGCGTATACTTTGATGAGAGAAATTTCGTTTAAAAATGTAATTGGAAGGCTTTAGATTAAGATTATCACTAGAATCAAGGCAAAAAAATGTGACCAGAGATATCAGTGAATAATATATCGTTTTGTGTTTCTGAATGGGAAGAATTCGAATATTATTATCAATGAGCGTGGCACATTGTTATCTGATTCTAGTTGGTCTAATGAATATTACAATAAATTATCTGGTGCTTGTATATCGGGGTCCTCAGAATATTGTAGTAGATCAATGTTAATATCACCTCAGGTAATTTTTTTTCTTTTCCTTATGATGTTCATAAAATTAAAAAATTAAAAAACAAACATGCGGAAAACATTTTTATTTTAAAGAATTGAAAAAAAAAATAGTCGAGACTCGAAACGTACTGTAGTATTTGTTTTGTGATCAATTACCAATCGAAAATTCAGTTCAAACAACTACTCAAAACACATCTTTTTAATTTAAATTCATTAATCACGTTCAAGCTTACTAAAGTTGACTAACGACTGTTAAACTGATGACAAGTTCACACAGAAATGTTCCGCTGGTGTAGGGCTTTCCAACTCGGCGGAGATTATCTTTGGCCCGCCGGCGTGAGATCAACTCAAAAAATAATTTGGCCTTCCAGCAAATTAATTAAGATCCGGGGCTATAATGCTACCATACCTGAGAAGAAAGAACGTGTCGACGGCAAATGTGGCGTTCCATACCGTCATAAAGTAGAACTTCGGTAATATGGTAGTCAATACGTAACCGACACTTTCTGAACAGTAAAAATAAAATGTATAATTTAGCTTAAAAGAAAGTAAAAAAAAAAAAGATAGGTTACACTCTAAGCATATCTCAATGATATTTTGTTTTCAAAAGTATTGAAAATTGTGCTTACCGAGTCTGTAACCCATAACTTGAATAGTATGTCCCAAGATAATCCAACACATACTAAGCACACGGATACCGTTAAGTGCGGGGAAAGAGCCAGGTCGAACTTCTGTGTTCAAAATCTTTGGCACGTTTTCCACGAGTGAAAATGCACGCACAAGATCTCCAATGCCTAGACCTACAATCAAATACACAATGATAGTAAATTTCGCTATTTTTGCTATCTTATTTCTAAACTTAATGTTCGTTAAGGAAGTTTTGGCAATAGAGATAACTGATACCGCTACCCGACTGGTGGTTGTGTTCTTTACCTTTTTTCTCCGGTATAGGAGCTGTGATCGTTGCATTTTTTGCCTAGGGATTATTACATATGCCTGAAGGCCATGGGGTTATCCTCCATGATTAGTCAAACCACGGTCCTACCTTTCTTTTTCGTGTCTTCTGTTGGTTTTTCTTTACTTTCTTCAACTACTGCGACTTCATTTTGATCACCATTCTCTTTCTTAATCTTACTGTCATCATTTAAAACGCTTGTTTCTTCTGGAGTCGCTTCGCTTCCCTCTAACTGGATAGTAACATTACCACTCTCTTTACTTTTCCGTTCTTTATGCAATCTGATCATGTCATAGGCGGTGGCCACAACGACGCACAACAGAAATGCACAGCAAAGAAACCTAAAGAGTAAAAGGTGTGTACAAACTTTTTATAAATCACATGGACATGAGTGAGAAATGTCTACTTACTATTAGCTGTTATTACATATTTTTGAAAGGACAAACAAAATGATACGCACAATGTGACAATGGCGTCGGCATCCCATCCTATCTCCTCTTCACGAAATAAATCAACTTTAGCTCGCTCGGATAGACGGGAAACAAATATAACTAAAACGACATTAAACAAAAAATAAAATTTCTGATATCATTGTTTGTATTGCCTTTTTAAAATATCTGTTCATGTCGGTTCGATTTTTTTCTTGAATTTTTGATGTTCTTTCTTACGATTTACTGTTTACCATTTTTTACTGAACGTTTTATTGGCTGTTTCTTTATTTCTATAAACATAGGTATTTTAATTTAATGTTTTTAATTCTTTATACATTGCAAATGGTTTTATGTTTTTTTTGTGTGTATATGTTTTTTATATAGGCCTATTATCAATATTTAAGAACAAAAAAAAATAAATCGGTTAGATTAAACATGTTTTCTGCCGGGTCAGATGTTTAGATTTCAGACACGGTATTGAAAGGTCTACCTCTAGATTATAATATTAACCTACAGTATAATAATTTCATTTTTTGTTTGACTTTATAAATATAATTTGTTTTTGTCATTCATACTCACTTATTACCATCACAAGTGTTGTCAATTCTGTACTAGAAGACGACTGCGGAACACACTGCCCTATGCAAGCTTGTGTCTGTGGATTGTTAAAATGAAAAATGGTAATGGTAAATGGTTGTAAAGCGAATACTACATTGTCTCTTTGTTTAAAAACGTAATATATTTTGAAAAAAGTGTATGTATATACAAGTGTTCGGAGTAAAAAAGTAAAATTACATTCGTCGGCAAAGTTCAGTTCAGGAAAATGTTCTAATTAGTGTCCAAAATCGCTTTCACTTGCAATCGTCAGGTTAGCAAATCAAGCTAGTTCTTTTTCCAAGTCAAAAATAGTAAAGTTATAAAAAATAGTAGGCCTAATGCTTCTTCCTTTAAATTCAGGTAGTGTAGTTAAACAGATTTCAGAGGAAATTCCCATTAATCCTATCCGACTTTAGGATTGTATTTCTGTATTCTGGAGTTTCGATCTGGGATTCACAGTGTTTTGATCTTCTTCTCTGCTATCTCTTTTTCTTCTTGTTTATTTCTTGAATGTTTTGGATATTATGTAGGGAATGGCTCCTCATTACTCATTCAAATGCTTACTATTGGTCTTCAGCTTTGGCAACACTAAGTGACTGTCCATTACCTATTTCCTGTATCAGGTAAGAATAATGCTAAGCTTTTAAAGAGTGGACTTCCTTATATATTGTGGTCATATTAGACTATAGTATTTCCAGGGAAATGTATTTCTTGGAATTTATCTTGGATAATAATGAGATTGACAATCAATCACAATTATCTGTCCTGTTTATAGGCCTATAAGATTTAATACGAAATGGAGCCATTTCGACCCTAAGTATGGAGTACTGACACCAGTGTAAAAACATACATAAGCATATAGATATATATACATACATTCAACACTTAGCCTACTCTATATGACGCAAATTTTCGGTCCGTCTGGACCCTCTTCAGGCGTAGTCCGATCGTCGTCTGAACCAATCAGTTCGTCTCCGTTTCCGCATAACATGTTACATCCATACGGAGTAGTGGTTATTCATGATTATGGTAAATAACTCATGACATCATACCACTGTTCCTTTATATTATAGGCTATGATAGAATTCGATAAAATGTATAGACGAAAAACGCCAACATATAAAGAAAATGCCCACAATAATAATACATAACCACAAGGTATATAATTAAACTTGGGAGTGTACCCTACTGCGGGGGAGCTGCACGTTCCCCCACACTTCTTTCTTATTGAGGCCGGGATGTATTTTAATCCTCTCTGCCTCTGAAAGTTTGATTAGTAAAAGTCACGCATTATTTATGGTAATGTTACATGCAGAGCACAAACACAGAATAGGAAACACAATAGCTTAGTATTATAAATTATACAATAGGCCTATGTAAATTTATTTAAAAAAAAACATAAATACATTATTATGAAAGAGAACAAAAACAATGGTGGTAAAACACAATTAAATATACGTTAAGATGGCATTGTTCGAAAACTTACAGAGTTAACTGAGCCCACGGCTAACTAAATTTGATTGTAGGCTTGTGTCCGAGACCAGCAAGGTTTATAGGTAAACTTAATAAACTACAGCAGACAGACAGGCTTGTAATAAAGTTGATGATAACTTTTGGAATAACTAAATGTATTTCTTGAATGTTTTGGATATTATGTAGGGAATCTTGCTCCTCCCTACTCATTCAAATGCTTACTATTGGTCCTTTAGCCTTAGGCAACACTAGCAGTAGTCACTGTCCATTCCCTTTCCTGTGTCAGGTAATAATAATGCTAAACTTTTAAAGAGTGGACTTCCTTATTTATTGTGGTCATTATAGTATTTCCAGAGAAAAGTTAAATTACTGGTATTTCTTGGAATTTATCTTGGATAATAATGATATTGACAATCAATCACAATTATCTGTCCTGTTCATGCTAAACTTATTAAGAGGGCGCTTCCTTTATGATTTAAGGGATTCTAAATGTATATGGGTCTGAAGCTACATGAAAAGGTGATATTCTGAAAGTTTGATTAGTAAAAGTCACGCATTATGGTAATGTTACATGCAGAGCACAATCAGAGAATAGGAAACACAATAGATTAGTATTATAAATTATACAATATGTAAATTTATTTAAAAAACATAAATACATTATTATGAAAGAGAACAAAAATTATGGTGGTAGAACACAATTAAATACGTTAAGATGTTCGAAAACTTACAGAGTTAGCTGAGCCCACGGCTAACTAAATTTGATTGTAGGCTTGTGTCCGAGACCGGCAAGGTATATAGGTAGGCCTAAACTTAATAAACTACAGCAGACAGACAGACTTGTAATAAAGTTGATGATAACTTTTGGAATAGCTAAATGATAGGATGGTATCCCATTTTATACACTTATTAACAAGATATTTGGGGGAGATTATTATGACATCACCAGATAACTTTAAGACGAAATTTACCAACTTTAAGATGAATTTGAGAAGGACATCATCTTCTTAAGGATGAAGTTGTAGATGACATCATCACACGACTTCCGATTCAACTGTCCCTTACAGACTGTATTTGGAATATTGCCCAACATGCGATTTGGACAATTACTCTACAATATGGTTAATACAGACTAAATTATTACAAAGTACGGTATATAGTAAAAATGTAGCGGCAGTTTGGCGCAGCGTTTGAGGTTTGGGCTTTCAATCGTAAAGTCGGGGTTTCGAGTCTCCGCTGTGCAGATTCGCTTGTGTCTTTGGGCAAGGCACTTTAGCTACATTGCTGCAGTCCACCCAGCTGTATCAATGGGTGCCGCTGGGGACTAACCTGCGACTGTCCCGTCCAGGGTGAGTACATCACCCAACCGCTTCACACTACAGAAACTGGGGATAAGCTCCAGCCCTATGAGCCCCAGTGGCTCGGAAAGGATAGTAACAATAACATACAGTATTTAACATTATATTATATTATGCATAACCTAACACTAAACAATAATGTTTTTTGTTCCTGCTGTAGTGGTTACGGATAAGGGGGAAGGTGTCTCTTTAATAGGGGTTAGCAATAGTGTTTCTTCTTAATGTAATTGGATGAATTGAATTATTTTTATTTACCAGGCATGTATGATATAAGATAAACAACAATTTTAAGTAAATAAAAATAAAGTAGAAATACAACTTTAGTCATTTAGGTCCATTCAAAGGAGAGAGCGACCATTCTATAAAAGTAACTTAGGCCTATTTAAAATTTAAAGATTCGTTATGTTAACATAAGTTTGCAGCCATTTAGTTGGAAATTACGATCTTGTAATAATGTAGTTATGGTTCTTCACGACACCAAACTGTATGCCGTATTACATATTTTTTTTTTTTTTTTAGCTATGGGCTGTACTCTTGAGATTTATACAACGGATCTTGTAAATAAAAGGTGGGTGACAGACAATTGGTTAGTATTCACTTATAGTAAGGAAAACGCAAACGGAAGTTAAGTAAATAAAAAAAGAATACACCATATCCTCCCCTGCTTTATTTGCAATATAAGTTGGGTTAGAGGACTCGTTCGGGAAATTCGTGGGTTGGGAGAAGGGGTTCGCGAGAAAAGATTGTTTGCTAGAAAGGGGGCTAGAAAGGGGGCATAAACCCCCACTCCATGGCTACAGGCTTGATGGTAAAGTAGGGAAAAACTATGAATTCAGAGTGTATTCATTCATTAATAGAGGTCTCATAATGCACAAAAGTGCATTTCCAAGCATCTAGATGACAAAACTTTCCGAAGGAGGACCCCAACATTCCCTCCAC